TGGCCTCGCTGGGTGAGGGCTTTGCTGCCTTTCCTCCTCGTTAGGGCGCCTTTGGCTGTGCAGAACGAGCCTCTGCAGGCTGGAGCTAGTAAAATTGCCATGTAGTTACATATTGATAACAGCAACAAAGGAAAGAATGAGAAGCATGACTATCAGAAAGGGTTAGTATGCACAACAGACTCATAAATGCCCCAGTGTCTGTTTTGGCAAGCAGGCATCAGGCTGGAGCGGGAGAACCAGCTCCCTGCAAACAGCCCTTGTGTTGCTGCATTGCATGGTGCCACCAGCCCCAGCAGACAGACCGCTTCCAGATTGTTTCCTCTGCATTTATTGCCTCTATATTCCATTCCCATGAACATTCTTGAACCCTTGGGCATTGAGCTGTTTGGAAAATATTAAAGGAAATGTTCTAATGGATATTTGATAGCCCACTGTTATTACGGCCCTAATCTTGTTTTCACCATGGTGATGGATGTACTGCAAAGTTGCTGGACAAGCAGCTGTGCCAGATTCTGGGAAACACTCTTATCTCCATATTTCTTCCACTGAAGCTCCACCTCAAGCCCCCAAACCTGTGCTGATTTCCTTGCTTGAAGGAGGGGAAGACCCCTGGATCCCAGATGTGCATAGCCCTGAGGCCATGCCAGGAGACCTCAGCCCAGGTGAGGTGGTGGAGGGAAGGAGGAGGTTGGGTCTGGAAAAGCCATTTCTGTGTGTGTTTTATTTTGGGCACTGTGTGCTATTTGTGGATTTCCTGTCATCCAGCAGGAACTGGGATTGCAGATATACTGGAGGACCTGCAGGAAAGTGGTGGGGTGGTGTCTGTGTGGAAGAAATCAGAAGGGATGTCCAAGGAGGCCTGGAGCAAGGTCAGGGTGAGCAGATCATGGAGCCACTGGGAAAGCGTATGTTAAAGACAGGGAGGAGCCCGCTGGACTTCACCGTAGGTCAAAAGGAGCCTGAAGAACCCAGGAGCAAGAATGTGTGCCAGCAGAAAACGCAGAATCCATGCACTGAGTGTGGAAATAGCTTTGAAAAAGATTCCAGCATTGTTAACCACCAGTGCATACACTCAACAGAGAGCCTATGCAAGTTTTCTTATTGTGGGAAGAGCTTCAAAAAGAAATCCCAACTCACATACCACCAATGCATCCACACAGGAGAGAGACCCTGCAAGTGCTCTGAGTGCGGGAAGACCATAAAAACCCGTTTCCAGCTCACGTACCACCACCACTTGCACACAGGGGAGAGACCCTTTAAGTGCTTTAAGTGCTCTGAATGTGGGAGGAGCTTCAAAAGCAGTTCTGAATTGAAACTGCACCAGCGTGTACACAAAGGGGAGAGATCCTACAATTGCTCTGAGTGTGGGAAGACCTTCACAAGCAGTTGTGTTTTAAAGAGTCCATATAGAGAGACCATATAGTTGTCCAGAGTGTGCAAAAAGCTTCAAAAGCAGTTGGGAATTGAAACGCCACCAGCGCATCCACACAGGAGAGAGACCCTATAAATTTCCAGAGTGTGCAAAGAGCTTCTAAAGGAATTCTGATTTGAAGAGCCATCAGCACACGCACACAGATGAGAGACCATATAGGTGTCCTGAGTGTGCAAAAAGCTTCAAAAGCAGTTCTGAATTGAAACGCCACCAGCCCATCCACACAGGAGAAAGACCCTATAAGTGTCCAGAGTGTGCAAAGAGCTTCAAAAGTTGTTCTGATTTAAAGCGCCACCAGCGCATGCACACAGGAGGAAGACCCTATAAGTGTCCCGAGTGTGGGAAGAGCTTCAGAAGGAATTCTGAATTGAAGAGCCATCAGCACACGCACACGGGGGAGAGACCCTTCAAGTGTCCTGAGTGTGAGAAAAGCTTCAAACGCAGGTCTAATCTCAACACCCACAAGCACATCCACAGTGCACACAGGCTGTAAAGCATCCCCAGGATACGGGGAACCTTCAGAAACAGTTCCAGCCTCATTACCTACCAGCAGAGCCACATAAGATACAGAGCCTGCAGAGCTCCTGTCAATGGTTTACGGGCTGGTTTGACCCAGTTCTATGACCAGCGGGCGGAGGGATTTCGCAAAATCTGTGCCCCTGGAAAAAAGGGAAATAGGGGACCCCAAAAAAATTAAAAACAGCGGCAACGACCTGAGGAGAAACAAACCGATTTACTAAATATAGTATTGGAATGCAAGATAACACACCATAATACAATATAATAAGAATTGAAGCTAATAAATAAAATATAATGAGAGAGAGAATGTCCGAAAGGTGGGTAGGCCTCACCACAATGCTGAGGTGAGATGCACAGTCCAGTTGAGCAGCAGGGAGATGGGATGTTCAAATGCTTTGAACAGCTGGTCACAGCAGCTGTATGACACCAAGCCTTGTTTGCCTCCAATAAAACTACAAAAAGCTGAGCTTGTTCTTCCTAAATGCACCATCCCAAGTTTCAGGAGGTGGATTGAGCAGAAGGCAGTGCAAAACCTCAGGGTGTATAAGCAGCTCATCCCCACAGCACAGAGATATCAGAGTGCTCTCCAGTGTGTGCTTGCCTTGCAAGTGATCCCTTTAGAGCTTGAAGGTTTTTGATTTGACCTTGGCAAGGTGTGTCTGAGATCTCCCACAGCAGGGCCTTCACATTTGCTGCGCTAAGCTAAAGCTGCTGTGCTTGGAATGCAGTTGGCAGGAAGTGGAGGTTGTGATTGGTGAGCTAGTGAAGCTTTTTTTTTCCATTTTCATTTCCTAAAATTATCAATTTAATGGTAGGTTTCCCCCCAATGTTTTGTCACACATCTTATTTAGTTGGATTGGGAGTTAGAAAACTCAGCTTTTTGTCTGCCTCTGAACTCGCCATCTTTTCCTCTGCTCTGGGGAAAGTCCTTCTGTTGCAGACATGAGTCCCTGCAGAGTTGTGACTGCAGTGCCCCAACTGCAGGAACAGGAGCATTTGTTCTACTGATGCTACTATGGTTTCTTTTCCTGTGGTGGTAAATCGTTGGGCATGGAGGAGTGGATGTTCACTTGGGAGGTTTTGTCTTGGTTAATTCTACCAATAGTTGCATCTGCCCCACAGAAAGCTCTGCCCTCTCTGTCATAGATCAGCTCTTGCACTCATGGAATCAACACAGGCACAGACAGAGCTCCCAAGGGAACAACCAGCCCCCCAGGTGCCCATGTGTAAGGCTGTTACATGTTACTGGTTTCTCACATTGGCATCCAATGCTGGAGGCCCTGTGTGCTGCAGCATCATCAGCATGAGTGAGAGGTGGTGGGAACAGTCCTGTGACGGGTGTGCAGTGTGTGATGGATGGCTCTGGGCTTTGCAGGCTGGAGATGCAGGGCAGGTGAGATGGGATGGGGTTGCTGTGTGTACTGGTGGGCTGGATGGAATGGAGCTTACAGTAAGTAATGACATGGTTGAATGCGTCTGGGTATGGATTAAGGGACAAGAAAAACTAAAGAGGACATCACTGCGGGAGTCTACTGTAAGCCACTCAGCCGGGATGATGGTACCAATTAATTATTCTTAATTCTTTTATGACCAATCAGAGGTTCAGGCCATGACTCAGCAGTTCCCATACACTCCACCCCTTCACAGTGTGAACCAATGATCAGGTTAACTAAAGGCTAAGCTTTCCCTAAGACAGAGATCCGCTATATCGCGACGCTTATACAATTTTATCGCGAAACGTGTTGGTACAATTCAAGACGAGTGATGATCAGTGCATGTCCATATTCTTCTATGGGCCAGTGCTCGATGATGCGACTGGAGGCATGAGGTCCTGAGGTGCAGGTCCGTTCTATGTTCCATCAGTCCCATGCAGACCATCACCGGGTGTTGTACGTGATCTGACAGCAACACTGGAATGCTTGATGGCATTTTGTTCCTTCCGGCGGTCCTAAAGGCTCACAGGCTCACGGGGAGTAATACAGATGTTTCACAGGTACCAGGAGGGGAAGGTCTGCTCTCCAGGGTAAGATACAGGCCGTATTTCTATCCTGGGTCAACACTTCCGCCTGTACTGGGGCACGTCCTGGCCGCCCGTACCACACCTTCTGGCCGGATGTCTGCAGCTGCATAACGGTATCAGGCACCAAAGGAGGTGTCCTGATCTGCCACAGGGACATGATGGGGGTCCCTTTAGCAATAAAGATTGGAGTGTTGACCACAATATCAGTAGGCCATGTACCTGTTACAGGAGGGACTGCTGAGCCTCCCACCTCCAACAGTCTCCCCCAGGGTGCAAGTAGGCCACACCACTTGGGTCCTACCTGCACCTTCCAGGGCCATTTTATTTCATGGGTACCCGGATCTAAATGCTCAGGGGCAGGGAGCAGAAGATTATTTTCGTTACCAATCTGGGGTTTTACCTGATGATCAGTGCCCATAATTTGGATCCTAAGCGGGGTGGGCCATGTCATCCGCAACATTCTCAGGGCACTGGGTCTGCCGTCTCGAGGTCTTTCATTCAGGTCCCGCAGGGTTTCATACAGTCTTTTCGTCCACCCCTGCAGGGACTGGGAGTCTGACTTCGGGGCAGCCTTAAGAACACTGTTATAACGTTTGATGAGGCCTGCCCCCGTTGGATTATGTGGCAGGTGGAATCGCCATTCAATGTTATTTTCTTCTGCCCAGCACTGTATCGTTGCACCAGTAAAATGAGTCCCTTGGTCACTCTCAATTACTTGAGGTGTCCCGTAGGCAGATATCACAGAATCACAGGGGTTGGAAGGGACCTCCAGAGGTCATCGAATCCAACCCCCCTGCCAAAGCAGGTTCCCTAAACCAGGTTGCACAGGTCGGCATCCAGGCGAGTCTTCAACATCTCCAGAACAGGAGACTTCACCACCTCCCTGGGCAGCCTGTTCCTGTGCTCCGTCACCCTCACTTTAAAGAAGTTCTTGTGCACATTGGTACAGAACTTCCTATGCTGCAGTTTCTGGACATTTCCCCTCGTCCTGTCTCCATTGACCACTGAAAAGAGTCCGTCCTCGCCATTCTGCCCCCCACACCTTAGATACTTATAGACCTGGATCAGGTCCCCTCTCAGTCTTCTTTTCTCAAGGCTGAACAGACCCACTTCACTCAGCCTTTCTTCATAGCAGAGATGCTCCAAGCCCTTCACCATCTTTGTGGCCCTCCGCTGGACTCTTTCCAAGAGATCCCTGTCTTTTTTGTTCTGGGGAGCCCAGAACTCGGGACGCAGGTACAGGACGCAGTACTCCAGATGAGGCCTCACCAGGGCAGAGTAGAGGGGGAGGATCACCTCCCTCGACCTGCTGGCCACGCTCTTTTTAATGCATCCCAGGATGCCATTGGCCCTCTTGGCCACAAGGGCACACTGCTGGCTCATGGCCAACCTGTTGTCCACCAGGACACCCAGGTCTCTCTCTGCAGAGCTCCCCTCCAGCAGCTCATCCCCCAACCTGTAACGGTGCATGCAATTATTCTTCCCCAGATGCAAGACTCTACACTTGCTTTTGTTAAACCTCATCTGTTTTTTTTCTGCCCAGCTCTCCAGCCTGTCCAGGTCTTGCTGAATGGCAGCACAGCCTTCAGGCGTGTCAGCCAATCCTCCCAACTTCGTATCATCAGCAAACTTGCTGAGGGTGGCCACTATCCCCTCATCAAGGTCATTGATGAAGATGTTGAACAAGACCGGACCCAGCACAGACCCCTGAGGAACACCGCTGCTTACAGGCCTCCAACTGGACTCTGCACCGCCAACGACGACCCTCTGTGCTCTGCCAGTCAGCCAGTTCTCAACCCGCCCCACTGTCCACTCATCTATCCCACACTTCCTCAGCTTTGTTATAAGGATGTCGTGAGGGACAGTATCAAATGCCTTGCTGAAATCAGGGTAGAAAAGCAGAAAGGGTAAATATATATGGAAATAGCTCCTAAGAGTAACATTTGCTGGTGGCTGAGATATGTTTAGGAAAAGAGAAGAAAGTAGGAGCTCCTTATGCTTCTACTTCTTAATAGATGCTGAAGAAATGGGTGTAAAGTGTGAGTAAACCTGGAGTAGAATGTGAGTGAACCTTGAGTATGGTGTGAGTAAAACCTGGAGAAGAGACAGAGTAAATCATGAGTAATGTAACTCATGGAGTTAACTAGATTGATCTATTCCCTTGATAGGGGGGCACTAGGCCTGTGGGCCCCCCAGCCCCCAGAAACGGGAAGGAGAAGGGAAAAGGGGGAGTGAGATGGGAGCTGAGCACAAGGAAAAATAACAGAACAGCAGCAATGATTTATGGAGGAAAACTTATTTTACTATCTATGATATCGGAATGCAAGATAACACAGTGTAATATGATCTAATTGAAATTGAGACTAATAAATCAAGTAAAATAAGAGAGAGAGAGAGAGAGAATTTTCCAAAAAACCATGTAGACCTGAAAAAAGGACCAGCTTTTGGAAACACCCTCCCTTCTCCAGGTAGTGCACAAGCAAAAGTGGGGGGGTCAGATCCCCTAACTTCTGTGATGTATCTTCCTCTATGGCCATGAGGTGGAGTATTAACTCTTTTATTACCCATACTTTGCATGATGTTATGATGTGGAATACCAATAGCACAAAATAACAAAACCACGAGAATGTGATAACCTGGAGTAAATTATAAGTATACCCATATATGCATATAAGAAATTTATTTTGTTTCAGTTAATAAAAACAAGAGGGATAAGAAATCCTAACAAACTGTGAGAAAATTCTGTGTTGGAAATTATGTAAATTGTATAAAATATTATTCAAAACTGTTGTGGGTTTAGTTTCATTTAGTCAAACATGCTGTGGGTCTAGTTTCATTTAGTACATTAAAGTGAAAGGGATGCTGAATTCGATAGCTGTTCCAAAGCATGCAGAAAAACTTATATTTGATATGTAGCCATTAACACACACAATTTATCATCATTGGGTGTTAAGCAAGGGAAGAATAAAGTGCATTTTGTCTCAACACAGGAACTGTTGAGTTGTGTTTTCTCCCTTGTCCTGTTGAGGGGCAGCGACAGAGCAGCACAGGGGGCACCTGGGAGCCAGGCAAAGTGAGCACAGGGCAACTGGGCGTTGAGTTCCAGGGCGATTTGGAGTCCCAAACATGCAGCATGAGGTTCCATGAGCATTCTTCCCTGCAGGACAGCCTGGCCCCACCACCCCACAGGCAGCCCCTGGCAGCTCTGTGCAGGCACTGTGTGGGGCAGCATGCCCCCAGCACAGTCCTGACATCCCGCCCTGCCCTTCTGCTCCTCCACCAGCTGGACCCTGCCCAGCCCCAGTGTGTCCCACACAACTCACAGCCAGGCCTGCTCTGGGCTCTGTTGGGCTCTGGGCCAAGAGAAGGATTGGGCCATGCTGCCCATTCCTCAGTGCAGGCGCTGAGCCCAGTGCCCTCGTGGAGAGGTCCCACTTCGGCCATCAGCTCTCAGCAGTTTATGATGAAAAGTGCTGCTGGGAACCACTAGTGTGAGTTCTGGAGCTGCTGGTAGCTTCCTTGGGCAGAGTCTCTTTTCTGTTCATGCGAGGGAACTCAGGCTGGATTGATGTCCTGGGCCTCAGGATCACCTCTTCCTGCTCCCTTCTCCTGTGTAGCTCCCACAGGCTACAGGCAGAGCACCCAGAAAAGAGCTCATCCTGCATATGATCACAATGGGACCCTGGTGCTCCATCTGCCCCCAGAACCCACACAGTCTTGTCTAAAAGTGATCCTTGGAGAAATGTAGGACGGCCCTTCGGAGGGACTTAGACAGGCTGGACTGCTGGGCTGAGGTGAATGGAATGAGGTTCATCAAGGCCAAGTGCTGGGTCCTGCACTTTGGGCACAACAACCCCATGCAGCGTTACAGGCTTGGGGATGAGTGGCTGGATGAGTGTGAAGAAGAGAAGGACCTGGGGGTGTTGGTTGATGCTCGGCTGAACATGAGCCAACATTGTGCCCAGGTGGCCAAGAGGGGCAACGGCATCCTGACCTGCATTAGAAATGGCGTGGCCAGCAGGAGCAGGGAGGTGATCATCCCCCTCTACTCAGCACTGGTGAGGCTGCACCTCGAGTACTGTGTTCAGTTTTGGGCTCCTCACTACAAAGAAGACATTGAGGCCCTGGAGCGTGTGCAGAGATGGGCAACAAAACTGGTGAGGGGTCTGGAGCACAAGTCTTATGAGGAGCAGCTGATGGAGCTGGGATTGTTCAGTGTGGAGAAGAAGAGGCTCAGGGGAGATCTCATTGCACTGTACAACTTCATGAAGGGAGGTTGTGATGAAGAGGGGTTTGTCCTCTTCTCCCAGGCAACTAGCAGGACACGGGGTAATGGCCACAAGTTATATCAAAGGAGGTTTAGATTAGACATAAGGAAGAACTTTTTCTCTCAGAGAGTGGTCAGGCACTGCAATGGCTGCCCAGGGAGGTGGTGGAGTCACCGTCCCTGGCAGTGTTCAAGAGGCGTCTGGATGACGTGCTGCATGATGTGGTTTAGTGCTGGTGGTGACAATGGTGATGAGGAGACGGTTGGACTAGATGATCTTATAGGTCATTTCCAACCTTGTGATTCTATGATTCTATGCCAAAGTCAGACAGGGACTGAGGAAGAACTGTAAGGTCATAGGGCTCCATGCCATGCTTGCCTCTGCAGGGAAATGTCATGCTCAGATCAGCTCCCATCAGTCCCCATCTCTCCTCTGATCTGTTCGGCCATTGATGGGTGACTCTGTACTGATTGTACTGGTCAGGGTGGGAAGCAGAACCAGATGGATGGGGACAAGTGCAGCTATACTCCCTGCCTGGGAGTCAGTGGTTGTGCAAAGTGCTTGGAATGACAATGAAGAATTTCCAAAGCCACTAGGAGTGTACAGGTGTGCCTGGGAATGATAGAAATCTCTCTCCATCCTCCCTCCCCTGTGCCTGTTCCCCACTGCCTCAGTGAAGACTGCAGACCCCTCATTTCCCTGAAGATACAGACATGGGACACAGGCTACGAGAGTCAGCTCTGACCCACATCGTATATGAGCTCCAGGAAAAAGAGTAGGGTGATGCCTCAGCAGAAGTAATCAGAATTCTAGTGCAATCATTAATTATAACCATTAATAAAACAACAGCAATATATGTATAAATTAAATAAATATTATAAACATTAAAGAACATAAAATAGGCCCATTATGGGGAAGACTGTGAGTCATTAGCATAGAGTGATGAGGAGTTTATTGTTGCTACAAAGTGTCCATGTCATCATTTTCCTCACTGCATCCTTGAGCTCCTGGTTCCTCATGCTGTGGAGATGAGGGGATTCACTGCTGGGGACAACACTGAGTACAGAAATGATATCACTACATCCAGGGATGAAGGGAAGAGGGAAAGGGGCTTCAGGTAGGCCAAAAAATCAGTGCTGAGAAAAATGGAGAGCACAGCCAGGTGAGGGAGGCACGTGGAAAAGGCTTTGTGTCGTCCCTGCTCAGAGGGCATCTTCAGCACGGCCCTAAAAATCTGTACATAGGAAATTATAATGAAGATAAAACATCCAAAGCCTAAACAGACACTAAGCGCAATAAGCCCAATTTCTCTGAGATAGGAGTTTGAGCAGGAGAGCTTGAGGAGATGGGGGATTTCACAGAACTGATCCACAGCATTGCCATGGCAGAGTGGCAGTGAAAACATACTGGCAGTGTGCAGCAGAGCATGGAGAAGCTCAGTGCCCCAGGCAGCTGCTGCCATGTTGGCACAAGCTCTGCCACCCAGGAGGCTCACGTAGTGCAGGGGCTTCCAGATGGCAATGTAGCAGTCATAGGACATGATGGTGAGAGTGGAATACTCCACTGAAAATAAAACCAGAAAGAAAAAGACCTGTGCAGTGCATTCTGCATAGGAAATGGCCCTGGTGTCCCAGAGGACATTGGCCATGACTTTGGGGACAGTGGTGGAGATGCAGCCCAGGTCGAGGAGGGCAAGGTTGAGGAGGAAGAAGTACATGGGGGTGTGCAGGCGGTGGTGGCAGGCTGCGGCTGTGCTGATGAGGCCGTTGCCCAGGAGGGCGGCCAGGTAGATGCCCAGCAAGAGCCAGAAGTGCAGGAGCTGCAGCTGCCGCGTGTCTGCCAGCGCCAGGAGGAGGAACTCGCTGATGTTGGACATTTCTACTTCTGGGTGTAGAGACCTATCCAGGAATGGTAAGAAAAGGAGGTACTAGGCCTGCCTTTAGAGGAGTCAGTTTCGCTCTAAGACAAGGACAAATGAAGGTTTCTACCAGTCTTTCCTGCATTTGAAAAGGGATGTTTTCTGCAGTTGAACGAGTCAGATTCTGTCCACTGTTTCTGCGGGGATATTCACTGTTGATCAAAATGAGAGATGAAATTGCTACATTGTCCATCTGCCTGTGTACGTGAAGAAGGAGAGATTAATCTCTTCATACTTTGCCCTCATTCAGCAATTTGTCCCTAATATCAGAACCGGAGATCTCATACTCCCATGTTGGGCATGGGAACGTGGCTCATTACTACAGAATTGATTCAATCCTCTGCATTTGGCCTTATATTCTAGAGTACAGCCTCATTTTGCACCAATTCCAAATATTCTAATACAGTATTTTTCCTGGTACCAAATGAGTAATGAAATTTAAACAGCTTGATAGTAAGCCCACAGATGAAAGTAAACTTCTCACCTTGCTCTTCAGAAGACAAGAGGTAACCCAATCAACTACTTATGTGCCTTTTTGGGATTTAGATTACCCCATAAAATTTAGGAAATGGAAAAATTCTTCAGGCTTTTCTTCTCAGCATAAACACAAGTGATTGCTCAGAGGCAGAATGTCCAGGCTGTCCAGAAAGTCATTGTACAAATCCTCTCTCCTTCAGCTCTGCTCTGGAGAAAAGGAGGAAAGGGTCATGGTAAGGCTTCTGATTCTCAGGGCTGGAGAAAGAGCACAAAGGAGCTGTGCCCATCTTGGAGCTTGTGGCAGCTTTCCAGGGCACCTCCACAGTGGTAGTCTTGAGCTGATGTCTCCCGGGGGATGGGAGCTTACTCCTGAAACTGAAACAACTGCACTGCACTGAGCTTGAAATGCTCAAAGAAGACAGCAGCTGTTGCAGAAGTGCCAGAGAGAGAAGAGTAGCATTACACATAAATGGAGAAAGGAGAAAAAAAATACTGTGATCCTCCTGCTGAGGGAAGCAAGGTGTGAAGAGACAGCCAGCATTCCAGAAAGACTTTTCCTTTTTCCCCCCCCCCCCCCTCAGACAGCAAAGTCACAGAGTAACTCTCAGCCTCTTGAATCTCTCAGCAAAAGGAGCCCATGTCTGGAGAAATGCAACTCTGCTCTACAGATCTGTGTCTGCAAAGGAGCAGCTCATGGCCTGGCCCCAGGTCTGAGAAGCCAGAGGCTGCGCTGGGTGGGAGGGGAGCACAGATGGTTTGCTCACAGGAAGACATCTGCATTGGAAGGACAGATGTTGGGCAGCCCAAACCCACTCTGCAGAGCCTTTCTGTGACAAGTTGCTTGTCTGTCTCTGTCCCTCTATCTGCCCCCTGGAGCTGTCCCTTGCTGTAGCTATTTCTTATCAGTCACAGACCTCATTCCAGCCCCTGTGCATTCAGCTGTCCCCTGCCGACCCCTCCTGGCAGCAGGGCAGCTTTCATGAGCATCTCCCTGCCTCCAGGTACTAAGCAGCAGGCCACACAAACCCTGATGTGGCCAACAAAAGGGATTCCATTACTGCATGCAGGCAGAGGAGTGGGCATGGGGAATTTATGAGGCTCCTGGCAGGTTTTATAATCTCCCAGTGTAATGATTCAGGATTCTCAGTGTTGTACCCTAAGTTCTCCTTCCTTCCCTTTATGAGTAATCTAAAAGCACAAACTGAACTGAAACACAAGCTCTGCTTTTCCTGTACTGACAGAAAGTCATCTTGAAGTTCCTGCTTTGCTGTGGAGCCATGAATCCCCTGCCCCAGGCAGCAGCTGTGGCAATAGAAGGTCCCTGCCCTGACGGGGAGCTCCTTCCCCCCACACATCTCCCCGCAGCACCCTAGGCAGCTCCCCGGGCAGGCTGAGTGCTGAGCCTGGCAGGTGGCAGAGTCCCTGCCCCAGCACACAGCCCTGGGGCACAGCAGGGACCTGCTCTGCAGGACAGCCCTGGGCAACTGGCTGCAGCCCTGGCTGCACAGCCTGCAGCTGTTGGGACACGCAGCCCTCAGGGCTGTGCTCTGATGCTACAGCAGGGAAGCCCTCAGCTGGAGCAGGTCCTGCTCTGCAATAAAGAAACATGGAGTGGCTCCAGACTGATACGCTGGTCTAACAGGACCAAGAGAAACTGGATGGTCTTGCGTACTTTGCCCTACCAAGAGAGACCTACTGTGTTAAGGTCTGCCAGCATTTGTCATCCAGTGGACTCTCAGCATTCTCTCTTGTACACAGCATGTGGTATTTCTCTCCCTTCTGTCTCCTCATTGTTACCTACTGGCCATGTCTTCGGAGTCCTGCACTGTGCAGAGGAGCTGCTCCTGTACCATCAGCTGTACAGCTCCCTGTGTCCCAGAAGCCCGGCCCAGCTCAGCAGCAGAGGCACAGATCAAGGGATCCCTTTCTCCATCCCTTTGGACTCCCTGCAGATGTCCCTAGGGCTCCGCAGGATGATACGTGGAAAAATATTGAAGGAGTCCTTGATGTTCCTTCCCTCTGTGTGGGAGAGCACTTTCCTTCCCAGCAGTGTCACTGCTCCTGTCAGAGACAGAGTTAAGTAGAAAAACCACCCTCCCTTGTCCCAACACAGATAGGACACCCGGGCAGTGACAGGCAGGGATCACAGGCACCCAAGCAAAAGAAAATTACTCAGATGAGTTGATTGAGGTACCTCATTCTGGATCTGGAGATATTGTTTGGGTGGGAAATCTCTCTAAGTGAAGTGAAAGGTACCTACATAGAGTTCAATTGAACCTATTTTCTACTCATTTTGTTCAAAACATCATCCAGAAATACTGAGCTGAGAAAATGGATTCATGTGCCATAAGGAGAACTAAGTCTCTCTCTCTCTTCAGCCCAAGCTGTACTCCCTAGCTGCCCTGGGAGTAAAATGGTCTCTGTCTCATGTACACCCTTCATTGCCTAGCCATGTTCAGGGCGGCTGAGTATAACACACATGCCCAAATACTGTTCCATATAGCCCCTCCAAGTAAAAGCCGAATATGGCCTGCACTCTGCTGCCAGACGGGTGGGGAAAAACACACTGCCATTGTCAGTTGTGACACGCCACTTGGCTGCCTTTGACTCCAGTTCGTATTGGAGTTCTAGCATGCCTGGCACAGCAGTGCTTAGCAGTGGCATGACTTCATTCTGGCCACGATAGTCCTCTCAGCCTCCACTCTCCATTAGACTTTTGGTCCAAATAGGACATTAGTGAGTATGGAGGACCAAATGGGTAAATGAGTCTTGCTGATTACTCCTTGATTCTGCAGTTGGTGAATCAGATGATGAATGAGAAACAGGAAGTCCCAATTGGTGCAATATTGATGTCAATATACCATTGTCGTAGCGATCAGCACCTGCTGTTTTTCTGGTCTTAGCAGTCCTGCAACAGAAGGGACTTCTGAGAGACCAGACAAGGTATACAGCTACTTAATGTCCTCCATCTCCAAGGCAGCTATACTGAAAGCCCACCAGGACCCTTTTTGAGTCCTTGAAGTGCACTCTCCTGAAGCAATCTGTAGCAGGGATGTACGGAGCCTCAGGGCCAGTCACAGTACTAATCACAAACATTTTTTTGCCATTCATTTAGTTAGGCTCACTTTGGCCTCCAGCAGAGTTAACTCCTGGATTCCCCTGTCACTCCTGAAATACAAATCGGTTTTGTCCCTTTATAACTTGATGGCATTAGAGTTGTGAACCAGTGTCAGCTAGAGCCTCATATTGCTGTGGTAGTGATGTGCCAAGCCATCAAATCTATACAGTCCAATAAACCCAATTGCCCCTTTCCTCTACGTAGTTGGAGGCAGGGTCCCTCGAGTTCTGATTTGTGTATTCATTACTCATCTTTTGTGTGTAAAAACCAGAAGGTTCACTGACAACCTCAGAGATAAGATCAGACTGTCTCTCTGTCTGGAGAACTGCTCACTGGAAACTGGAGCCACCATTTTCCCAGAAGTATCTTCTCTTGTGATTGTGTTCCCTTGCACTTTACATACCCATGCTTGTAGGGCTGAGGTGGTTTTTCCATCCCACTTTCTCATACACTCTCCATGGTCACACAGGTAAAACCACAAAATGGTACATGGCTGTTACCTTGAGGCATGGGGCAAGTGACACGCTGTGCATTTCTAATGCCATTTGTGCTTTCCACTTTTTTTTTGTCAGTCATGAAATCCCAAGCTGTGAGGTGTGGTTGATGCAACCATGGATGGGAAGCTGGGCGTGAGCCATCAATGTGCCCTCACAGCCCAGAAAGTCAGCCATACTCTGGGTTGCTTTAGAAGAAGCGTAGCCAGCAGGGTGAGAGAGGTGATCCTGCTCATCTACTGTGTGCTGGTGAGAATTCACCTGGAGTATTGTGTCCAGATATGGAGTCCTCAGTGCAGGGGAGACATGGACCTGCTGGAGCACGTACAAAGAAGGGCCACAGAACTGATCCACAGAATGGAACATCACTCTTATGAGGATAGGCAGAGAGGTGGGGCTGTGCAGCCTGGAGAAGAGAAGGCTGCAAGATAACCTGAAAGCAGCCTGTCAGTGCCTAAAGGGGAGCTACAGGAAAGAAGGGGACAGAATCTTTAGCAGAATCTTGACAATAGGATGAGGGGAAATGGCTTCAAGCTCAAAGAGGGTAGATTTAGGTTAGATATAAGGAAAAGGCATTTTACGGTGAGGGTGGCGAGGCACAGGCACTGTGCCTCTGATGGACCACTGATGTGGTTGGTGCCCTGTCCCTGGAGCCTTTCCAAGTGAGGCTGGATCAGGCCCTGGACAACCTGATGGAGCTGTGGTGACCCTGTGCACTGCAGAGGAGTTGGGCTAGATGACCTTCAGAAGTCTCTTCCAACTCTAAGGACTCTATGATTCTGTGATTCTAAGACTAGGCCAAGTAGGAAGGGGTTTGGTGAGTATGCCACACTCCCTACTGTTCTCAGGCTAAGGACATCACTGAACACACCAACTGGTTGGTTAAGTTTTGTTTGTTTGTTTAAGAAATACTTGAATCTGCGTGGTGTTTGCAATTGTATAATGCTGCTAACCAATTAACTAATAGATGAAGTGGGGATGGCTGCCTCAACATGAAAGCCATTTGTCTATCTGTGAATACAACCATCCTAGAAGTTCATATCAAGCCAGGAAAAGATCTTACAGAATTTTGCAACAACCTGTACTGCTGAAAATGCCTCAGATTGGAGCAATATGAATGGTACTACCAATACCCCAAATCCCTAAGTATGAGAAGCAAGAAATCATTTGGTAAAGTTACACTGGATAAGCACCTGATAGATGTCATGTTTTTAATGCTTGCAATCAAATGTGACTGAGTGTACTTTCTTTCATTTTGTGTCATATGTGAGTCTTGAATGACCCACATGTGGACAGATGGACCTTGATTCCAGGATGACCCAACAGGTTGAATGATGATATTGATAATCATAATAATGATAATGTGTTTTACCATGGTGTAAGTACAATCCCCTTTCATTTGTGTCCATAAGGGCCCAAAATGGCCACGGGCCTGTGAGGGGCAGATTGTGTTTTTGCAATGGAAGTTTTCAGTATTTTCTGTGAATAGCATAGGGTAAGAAACCTTTTACAAAGAAAACTCCTGAACATAGTCGGGACTGGGGCAGTTTGACCTAGAACTGGCACAGGCACTAGGGTAAAGGAGAGACAGAACAAGTGAAAATATTGTCTTCCTATCACTATAAAAAGTCCAGAACATACACTATAAAAAGTTTAGAACATATCCAAAGACAATGGGGTGGTAACAGACATTGTATGGAAGTGTAACCATAGCTATGGAAGTGTAACCATAGCTATGGAAGTGTAACCATAGCTATGGATGTGTAACCATAGCTATAGAAGTGTAATTTAGTTATGGAAGTATAACATAGCTCTAGCATCAGAAGACTGTGAGCCTGAGATGCTCAACCATTGAGTGTCAGGAGAGGCTTTACCTGCGTTGGACTCAGGGTATATAACGGAATGGATTTCACTAATTGGTTCTGCAATTTCTACCTTGCCAGTAGGGGGTGTGCGCCCAGTATTGCAATAATGAATAAAAGGCCCATCACAGGGATCTTTGCCTAGAAATTGTTGATCTTGAGCATGTTTCTCACAGCATAAGATAAGCTCGCTGCTGTTACGAAGACTTGTGTTGAAACTGTTTTTTGAGCCAATGGACTGTTAGTGGAAATGTCCTGAATAAATGTGTTAGACAATAAAAACCTTGCGTGAGAAAATAAAGGAGAATTTTTGCACAAGAACCCTGTGTCGTGTTGCTAACCTGCAACAAGCAGCCCCTTGTCTTGTGATGGGAACAGTGAGACAAACTCTGACACAATGGTGCATATTGCCTATTCCTGCCTGCTACCTTACTGCCACTGGATGCCACTGTAGAGACAACAGGACTGCTGTCAATTCATCTGAGACCCGAGGGCTACCAGGACTGTAGAGGGACAATAGGAAAGCATGGAAATGGAAAGAGAGCAGCAATCAAAAAATCACATCTTGCCCTTGCCCATTGTCATGGCCCCAGGAAAGCAGCAGCCCTGACTTGAAGGCAGTGAGGAGAAGAATCACAGAGTCACAGAATCACAGAATGGCAAGGGTTGGAAGGGACCTCAAGGATCATGAATCTCCAACCTCCCTGCCACATGTAGGGCCACCAACCTCCCAGTCTGATACTAGACCAGGCTGCCCAGGGCCCCATCCAATCTGGTCTTGAACACCTCCAGGGATGGAGCATCCACAACCTCTCTGGGCAGCCTGTTATAGCTCTGTTACACCACTCTCATAATAAAGAACTTCAGGTGCAGAAGCCCACTGAGTAGTGAGGGGCAGCCGCCAAGGAAATTTGGGCTGCTGCTCAACTTGGTAGATGGGCTCTTGGCCCCTGAATCCCCCCTGCATAAGGGGGTTTCTCCTCCAGCTCCAGAGGAGAAGGGAAGAAAAGTGAGCTGAGAGAAATGATTTTCTGCTGTCATCTTCATTGTGTTCATGCATATGGGAAGACGAGTTTTGTAGGCACATGAGATGACTGGGTCAAAATATATAATTCACTATAATAACATAGTTAGAATAACTATATTTAAAAGAAAATGCAAGTTTTAGGATGCAATAAACACAACATTTAACAAAAAGTTGTCCTAATATAGCTGGATTTCCCAAAGTTTCCTCAGGGCATCCCTGAGCTCCTGGTTCCTCACTCCATAGATGAGAGGATTCACTGTGGGAGGTACCACGGAGTACAGAACTGCCACCACCAGGTCCAGGGATGGGGAAGGAATGTGGCTTCAGAGGGGCAAACAGGAGAGTGCTGACAAACAGACAGACATGTGAGGGAGGCACGTGGAGAAGGCTTTGTGCTGTCCCTGCTCAGAGGGCACCCTCAGCACGGCACTGAAGATCTGCATGTAGGACAGCACAATGAATACAAAACAACCAAAGATTAAACAAAGACTAGATTAAACAAAGACTAAAATATACAATACCAGCTTCCCTGAGACAGTCTGATTCTGGGCAGGAGAGCCTGAGGATCTGGGAGATTTCACAGAAGAACTGGTCCACAGTTCGCAGGTCACAGTGAGAAGAAAAATCTCTGCAGAAAGAAAGAATAATAAAAAAAGACCTGTGCAGTGCATTCTGCATAGGAAATGGCCCTGGTGTCCCAGAGGACATTGGCCATGGCTTTGGGGACAGTGGTGGAGATGCAGTCCAGGTCGAGGAGGGCAAGGTTGAGGAGGAAGAAGTACATGGGGGTGTGCAGGCGGTGGTGGCAGGCTGCGGCTGTGCTGATGAGGCCGTTGCCCAGGAGGGCGGCCAGGTAGATGCCCAGCAAGAGCCAGAAGTGCAGGAGCTGCAGCTGCCGCGTGTCTGCCAGCGCCAGGAGGAGGAACAGAGGTGCACAGAGGAGATTTTAGAAAAGATTTCAGAGGAGTCAATCCTGCTCTAAGCCTCTGGAGACATGGAAGTTTCCATCAGTACCTCTTAGATTTGAAGTGGGAAGTTTTCTGCACTTGGATCCCTGCTTTAATTTATTCAGATTCTGTCCAGTGGTTCTTCGGGAATATTACCAGTTTATCACAATGAAACATGAAATTGACACAATGTCCATCATTGTGGGTAAGGAAAGATGGCATTCATCTCATCCTACTTTTCTATCCTTCAGAGATGGGTCCACAGTAAAAGAATCACTGAACTCATGCTCCCACGCTCAGCAAGGGAGAAAGAGATGCTCATGAGATCAGCACTGAACCAAACTTCTACACATTTTGTCATATTGGTAGGGGAGAGCCTGACTTCAAATCAATTTGCAGAATGCGCTTTCTTCCAATCCTGTATGAGTAATAGGATGAAAAAGCTTTGCTGTATGCAGTCTCCCACTGATTAAAATAATCTTTACATCTTGCTTTCTATAAGATGAGAGAAAAAAAAGTTTCTATGAATTGGATATAGATTTCCCCTTAAAGTTTGTGACTAAAAAATCTCCAGGTTTACTTTCCTGGCATAAGGACAGGTCAGCGCTCAGAGGTAAAGCCTTCTCACTGTCACTTAGAGAAGAGTCAAGCTGATCTGTCCATCGGGCTTGTTCCTACCTGCCCCATGCTGCCCCTTGCTCAGCTGGTGGATGGCTGCACCCACAGGTTGCTCCAGAGAAGAACCCAGGCTGTGCAGAGGGCCACTGTCCAACTGCTCTCTCTCAGCCCAGCTCTGGGAGGAAGGAGGAAAGGGACATGGTAAGGCTTCTGATTCACATGACACTGAAAGGCTGCAATGAGGTCACCCTGCAGCCTTCTTTTCTCCAGGCTGAACAAGCCCAGCTCCCTCAGCCAGTCTTCATAGGAGAGGTGCTCCAGTCCCCTGATCAACTCTGTAGCTCCTCTGGACCCTCTCCAACAGCGCTCTGTCTTTCTTGTACTGGGGGCTCCAGACCTGGGCACAGTTCTGCAGATGGGGCCTCACAGAAGCTAGAGAGGGACAATCACCTCCCTGTCTCCTGCTGGCCACCCCTCTTCTCATATAGCCCAGGATCCTATTTGTTTTCAGAGCTGTAAGAGCACACTGCTGGCTCATATTAAGCTTTTCATCCATCAGGGCCCCCAGGTCCTTCTCTGCAGGGCTGCTCTCAAGCACCACTCATTCCAGTACTTACCCAGCATTCATCTTTTCTTTCTGCAAAACAGAAGCAAAGGAAACGCACGGTCAGAGGGAACATCTTCTCTTTCCATGGCTGCTCCCATTCCTACACCCCAAATCTTTTTGTTCAGGGAAATGGCCGATGACCACTTTGGTCCCAAAAATTTTATTTAACAAGCAATATTGGAATCTCAGGAAAAATCTCCCTTCCTCCTCCTGTGTACCTCCATGGACCAGAACTCAGCACCACCTCGACCATCCCTGTTGCTGCACAACACCTCCCTGCACTTCATCCCCTCCACTCTCAGCTCTCTTCGCTTTCTATAGAGAAAAACAATGACAACAGATGAACCAACCAGAAGTGTGATGATCACAGCCAGAGCCACCTTCCAGGGATGCACAATTTGGGAAAAGAGATCTGGAAAAAAAATCAGGGAAAGTTGTTACTTTTCCATTCCCCTATGTGCAAAAGCAAGACACAGACTTGGGAGACAACAGAACCCAATGAAGCAGCAACCAGGGAGCAGTGCCATACAATGGCAGCATCCCCAACTTGGCACAGGTGGAGGAGCTGCTCAGCATCTTGTGCTGAGACATGGAGAAACCCATCGCAGAAACCCAACCCAACCACCTCATCCATGCAGATCCATCCCCAAATCAAACCATGTGCCCACTCCAACTCCGGCATCTCATGGAGCAGTTCAGCCCCATCCTCTTTCAAAGGTTGCTGTCCTTCAGCTCTTCATCCATGGATACCCCAGCCATTGACCTGACACCTCCAGGTTCACCACAGCGTCCGCATAGCCATCACCATCTTGCACAGCGCAGATATATGAGCTGCTATCAGAGGAGCTCACTGCAGTGATGCGCAAATCCAGGTTTCCATCAGAGAGACAATTCCTGAGTGGTTCTGTCCTCCCTTTACATTCCACCATCTGTTGCAGGCACACTCCATTTTGGTAGTGGGGCACAAGCCCAGAGGACCGGTGCTGGATCCATCTGATGTCTGATCTCTGAGCATCCTTGCAAGAGAACAACTGGTAGCGCAGCACAACATCCTGTCCCTCGTTGGCAGTGACACGGAGGCTCAGTGCCACCACCCTGAGCTGGTCTGAGCAATGAGATGGTGAGATGGTGGCTGTGTTAATATGGGGACCTGGAACGGCACAGGGTGAGTTGGTGTATGTCCCATCTCATCTAAAACCACTGGAGAAGGAGCAAGAGAGAGTGGGGAAGGATTCCTGGGGGTGGGAGCCTATTCACAACATGTGGAGGAGGTGAAGAGACAGAAATTCTACCCAAAATCACACATTTCATGAAAGAACTGAAGAGAAAGGGAAACTCAAGTGGGGCTGGGTGCTGGTCTTGGGTTCTCCCTGTCCCATGGCTGCTCCCCTGCCCCACAGAAACACCTCTGCCAGGCACAGCAGCCACACAGGACCCCTACCTGATTCCAGATGGAGGAGTTGCAGAGCCACAAGATAAACAAGGAGGCTCCTCCAGGGGAGGGTGAAACTGGGGTGGTTGCAGCCCAATAGGAAGTGCATCTGTGGGAGAAGGGGAGGGGAGAAGGAGTTGGGGAAAGGTGAGAGAGGAAGGAGATGGAGATGGAGAAGATGGGGAAGAGGATTTGGAAAGAATATGTGGAAAAAGCTCGTGGTGAATATGAGGGCAGAAGCTGTAAGAGAAGAGAGCTCGAGCCAATCAGCTTTGCAGTGGAGTCTCACAACGAGGGATTGTTCTTAGAGGGTCCAATTCGCAGCCAAAACCTGTAGCAAAGCAACTCTATGAAGCTGAGGGGTAGCGATGCAGCCATCCCATCTGCCTCCCCCAGCAGCACAGCGGCTCTGATGAGGGTGGGTGGAAGGAGGAGAGCTGATATCCTCCATGCCTGCAAAGTGGGGCCCACAGAGCACAAATGTTGTGCTGTGCATCTTAAGGTCTCAGTGCTGCAGATAGTGCAGGGAGGGGTGCAGACAGGGGGTGATCATCTGCCCCTCAGTTGGACAAGCGAAGGCCTCAGGGATGGAGAGAAGTGAGGCTGGGAAGTCTGACCCAGTAACATGGGATGGCAGTGGGTTATGTCAAGCAGGAATTGCTTTATCACTGGGAGCATTGGGAGTTCAGGGAATCGCTGCACCCAAAGAGCAGCATGAGGGGAGCGATGGCTACAGGACTGTAGGCACAGCGTGTACATAGTGCATTTCTGAGACACTGGTTGCATGTTATCTGTATTAAAACATGGGAGGGTCTCTGTGCCCCATCTGATGGCTGTTGGATGAAGGCCGGCAGTCATCCTCACAAAGGCTCGGTGTGTTCCCCACTGTGCACTTCTTTAAGGGGAGGTACCCAAATGGGCCTCTGCTGGTGTTGTGTGCAACCAAAGTTTCTGCTTTGCGTCTTTACCCACATCCGTCCCACTCTCTTACTGTGACATGACAATGAGTTCTCATGGCCTCACTCCGAGGGTGGTCTCTCTAGTTGCCCAGGGAGGCTGTGGATACCCCATCCTTGGAGGTGTTTCAGGCCATAGGATGTGGCTCTGGGCAGCCTGGACTGGTGGTTGTGACCCTGCACATAGCAGGGGATTGGAACGATGTCATCTTTGAGGTGCTTTTCAACCCAGGCCCAACAGTGATTCTGTGATTCAATGGGAGGGGCCCAGAGGGTTACAGCCACCAGGGGAGGAGGTAATGGGGTCACTCCAACGTGGGGCAGTTGGCAATGGGGCAAATGGTTGTGGAATCCATAGCTGACTTTCCACTGGGGCTTGATGGGGCTCTGCATCTACCAGGAACGTGGACCCATAGGACATGAGAAAGCCATGAGCTGCACTGCATGAACACTTCTCCCAATTTCTTCAACTTCCCATAGGTTACAGGGACCAATAAAGCTGCCAGAGCATTTCCTGAGGGTGCAGGATTATGGCTTGCAGCAGCTGGCAGAGGTGAGTTTGTTCTGAGCTATGCCCAAGGTGTGATGGTTTCTTTGTTCAGTAGGGATTTTTTTAAGTAACTGACCATTAATGCAGAAATTAATGTTTGCCCTGTGACACCCCCACATCCCCTCTTCCCATGGTGGAGGGCTCTGGGAACCAGGAAGTGTTTTTGTGGAAGGTGGGCAATCACTCGGTGCACTCAGTGCATGGAAAATGGAATTATTCCTCTGATTAAGGAGAGCTGTAATAGGGGGAACTGAAATGGGGAGGTCTGTCCCCTGGGATGGAGGCACCCCAGATGCAGAAGTTCCCCCCTTCCAGCTGTGCTCCCACCGGCGACCCCCCAAAAGATACTTTGTGGAATTCAAACCCATGCCCGTGCTGGGACTGGAGCCTTAATCCAGTGCCTGAGACTGCTCAGCCACGCCACCTCACTTCTCCCTCTCTTTCCCACTGTGCTCAGACCCCATCAACCTCAAAGCCCACCAAACTCCACTGTCCCCCCCCAAAGGAATTCCACCATCCCAATCCCCATCATCCTCCATCCCAATGGAATCACACCATCACAAACCCCATTGCCCTCGACCCAATGGGGTCCCACCACCCCAAACACAATCATCCTCCACCACAGTGGGGTCCTATCATCCCAAACCCCATTGACATCCATTCCAGTTGAATATCACCACCCTAAATGTTGGTGGTAACCCATCATCCTGCACCACAACAGGGTCTCACCACCCCAAACCCCATAATCCCCCACCCAATGGGGTCCCACCATCCCAAATCTCATCAATCCCCACCCACTAGAACCCCACCATCCCAACAGAGTCCCGCAATCCCAATCTCCATCATCTTCCATCCCACAGAACCCCACCATCCCAATGGTGTCCCATCACCCCAATCCCCATCGCCCTCCAGCCAATGGAGTTGAACCCCCTAAGAAAAGACCAATCCTCATTGGATTTTGTTGGGAAAGCCACAAAACTGTGGGCCAGCAATGGGGACACAGCAGAGCTCTGTGGGGAGAGGGCTGTGAGCTCATCAGGGCGCCTGGTGTTGGTGCATGCGGGGGTGCTTCATGAGCATCATCCCAAACCCAGTCAACCTCCATTGCAGTGGATCCCACTGACCCAAATCCCATCTTAGTCCACTTAGTGGACTCAGTGGGCTCAGTGGAATTCTGCCATCCCAAATTTCATCATCCTCCATCCCAATGGAATCCCACCATCCCAAACACCATCATCCCCCAACCCAATGGGGTCCCACCATCCTAGACTCCATCATCCCCTGCCCAGTGCAATCCCTCCATCCCAATGGAGTCCCATCACCCCAATCCCCATCGCCCTCCACCCAGTGGAGTCCAACCCCCCAAGAAAAGACAAATCCTCATTGGGCTTGGTTGGGAAAGCCATAAAATTGTGGGCCAGCAACAGGACACGGCAGAGCTCTGTGGGAGGGGGCTGTGAGCCCCTCAGAGCCCCGTGGTGAGGGGGAACCAACCGACCCCATCATGGTGCTTGGCGCTGGTGTGTGCGGCGGTGCTTCATGAGTGACGAACTGGAGACAAAGCGCTTGGTGCAGCTGCCACACGGGTACGGCTTCTCGCCGGTGTGGATGCGCTGGTGGATGATGAGTGTGGAGCTGGCGCGGAAGCTCTTCCCGCAGTATTGGCAGCTGTACGGCTTCTCCCCAGTGTGGATGCGGCGGTGCCGGCGCAGCGTGGCGGCTTCACGGAATGCCTTCCCGCAGTCGCTGCAGGCGTGTGGCCGCGGCACCGTGTGGCTTTTCTGGTGAAGCAGCAGTGCCGAATGCAGCCGGAATGCAGCTCCGCACTGCAGGCAGTGATGGGGCATCACATCCTTGTGCTGCCGGTGCTGCTGTGCAGGTGTTGCACTGAGGGCTGAGCTCTGCCTGTATTTAGCATTTAGTTCTGGTGCATGATTGTGGTGCATGTGCAGCTGTGCCACGTAGGCTGTGTTTGCAGCACTGCTGGCATTGCTGCCTGGCAGCATGTGGCTCTTGCGGTGCTTGCTGAGCGATTTGTTGGCCATGAAGCGCTTCCCACAGTCGGGGCAGCCATAGGGCCGCTCCCCGCTGTGGATGCGGCGGTGGGTGAGCAGCGTGGCTTTGGACGTCAGCTTCTTGCCACAGTCAGGGCAAGTAAAGAAGCCGTCCTCCGAGTGGCTCTTGCGGTGCTTGCCCAGTGACTTACTGGCCATGAAGCGCTTCCCGCAGTCGGGGCAGCCATAGGGCCGCTCCCCAGTGTGGATGCGGCGGTGGGTGATGAGCGCGGCATTGGAGGAGAGCTGCTTGCCGCAGTCAGCGCAGGGAAAGTAACGGTGCCGGGCCTGGGGTCGGCAGTGCTTCTTCTGGTGGTCCTCCAGGGCGGAGCTGCACATCAGCACGCGGCCACAGCGGGTGCATGGGGATGGCTGCGCACGGCGGTGCAGGCGGCGGTGCCGTCGGAGCGACGCAGCATGGCGGAAGCTTTTCCCACACTGGGTGCAGGAGGTGCCAGTTCTTCTCCGTCCTGATGCAATGCTGCGGGGCTTGATTTTGGTCCCATCTTCGTCCTCATCTTCCTCGTCACCATCATCACCATCATCCTCCATGGATGCACCCTCTGTTGTTGTGGTTGTCCATCCATCATCAGCGTCTGTTAGGAATTGGGGAGGAAATGGTGAGCAGGGTGGGAATGGGGGGTGGGGATGGGGGGTGGAGGGGTGGGAACTGCAGGAAGGGGGTGAGAAGGATGGAAAGGGGATTGGAACTGCAGATATGGGATGGGGACCATGGGAAATGGATGGGGAAGATGGAAAGGGGTGTGGAAATAAGGAGTAAAGGGATGGAAACCATGGAAAGGAGATAGGAACCACAGATACAGGATGGGAAGGAGGGATGAAGGGATGGAAAGTACAGGGATGGGATGGGAACAATGGGAGCAGAATGGGAATTTGGGGGGAGTGGATGGGAATGAAGGACAAAGGGACGGAAACTGTGGAGAAGGGATGAGAAGGATGAAAAGAGGATGGGAACCATAGAAAGGGGATGGGAGCCACGGATAGGGGAAGAGAAGGAGAGGTGAAGAGATGGGAACTATGGGAAGGGGAAAGGAATCATGGAAAGGGGATGGGAACTGTGGGAAGGGGATGGGGTTCTGGTGGGACATGGACACATCCCCATATGGGTTCTCATCGGTTCCCACACCCACTTTCCCCCATTACACCCACCCCCATTTCAGTGCCCCCATACCTGAGCAGGAGGACCCAGAGGACATCTCGGTGTTGGGAAAGCTCCTCCACCTCCTCCTCCTCCGGACCCAAACCCACAGCAGCGGCCGCGTGGGCTCCTCATCCTCCGAGCTGAGCATGTCGGGCACCCACGGCTCCCCACTGCGCTCCTGTGGCCCTAAATGGGTGGGGGGCAATGGGTCAGGGCTGCTCTGATCCCACATCCCACCCCAGTGCTGCCAATGGAACCCATCAGTTTTGTCCCAGTCCCCCATATGGGGTTTGGGGTGATGTGATTCCATTGGGGTGGTGGGTTTGGGGTGGTGGGATTTCATTGAGTGGGGATAATGGGGCTTGGAGAAGTGGAGCTCTATTGGCTGGTGGGTTTGGGTGGTGGGATCCCATTGGGTGATGGGTTTGGGTTGTAGGATCCCATTGGCTGATGGGTTTGGGTGGTAGGACCCCTTTGGATCCCACTGGGTTGAAGATTCCTCATTGTTTCCCATTGGGATTTGGGGGTGTCCCATGGGGTAGTGTGGCCGAGCGGTCTAAGGCGCTGGATTAAGGCTCCAGTCCCTGCGGGGGCGTGGGTTCAAATCCCACCACTGCCAGAAAGCACCTTTTGGGGGTCCACGCCCCAGTGCCCCCCAGCCCCCCTCACATTTGCTCCCATCTTTTTGCACCCCAAGACATGAGGGGATCCCTATGGGGAAATGGGGGCCCCAAATGGGACTGTGAGTTTGGAGAGGGGGGGAGGGTCAGTGGCCCCACCTGTGGGGGGAAGCTGTGGGTGGCTGCGGTGCCCCGGGGGGGGGTGGAGAGCGGTGGGGGTGGAAATGACCGTCACTTCCTGCAGTGCTTCTGGGACCTGTGGGAAATGCAGGGTGGTGAAGGGGGGTGGAGGGAGATTGGAGGGGAATTGAGGAAATTTGGGGAAAATGGGAGTAAAATAGGGGGAAAATTGGGGTGAAATTGGGGACAATTTGAGGGAAATTGGGGAAATCAGAGGAAAAATGGGTGAAAACTGGGGCAAATGGGGAAATTTCAGGGAAATGTAGGAGAAAATTTGGGGGGAATGGGGAAATTGGGACAACATGGTGGGATGGGGAAAATTTGGGGGAAATGGGGGGAAATTGCAGAGCATTGGAAAAATTGGGGAAAAATGAGGGCAGATGGGGGAAATTTGGGAAAGATTGGGGGGAAATGGAGGAAAATGGAAAAATCAGAAATTAAAAAACATGGAATATGAAATCAAAATAAGCACAATTAAAATTAATTTGAAATCAAAATTAAGGGGAAATAAAATAAAATAAATAATTAAAGATGAAACAAATTAAAAAATAAAGTCAGAATTTAAAAAATGAGAATTTATTAAAGGAATAAAACTGATATTTAAAAAAGAAAACCAACATTGAAAAAAATATGGAAATGAATTTTTTAAAAAATCAATAACTAGAGA